AAAAAAAAAGACCAGATTAGATTGGAAATGGAAAGAAATAAGGATCCCCAAAGGATAAGGGAATGGCATGATAAAAGTGAGGCTTTAGAAATATTAACCTTGAAAAGAGTGCTAAACAATTTGGAGGGGAGAAAGCCTAGAATATGAAAGCCCACAAGGTCATAATCAAGCCTGGATAATGTAGGTTTAGACCTGGTAAAGACAGATACACTCACTGTCTACATGTCTTATTCACATGATAATGAAATAATTTTACATGTAACTCCATGAAATGCTGTGGTCAATTACTGAATTAAGATTCTAAAGTGTATTCGTATACTTTATCCTAGCACAGGAACATAACTGTTCTAAGCAGTTTTCATGTTCTCTGTGAAGCCTTGCCCCAGCCAGATTTTTTTCCTTCTTTATAATTCTCCTTGGGCCATTGTCTTAATAAGTTCTCTTTGGGTCGTTGTCTTAATAAGTTCTTATTGCTATTTTCTGTACATCTTTTCTTACTTTTAGATTGCAAGAGCAGTGAGGACATGAATTGTTCCCACTGAAAAACACACTCATATAATACATTACTGGTATTATATCAGACACACATATAATGTATAAGTATAGTACATATATAATGTATATGTATGATATATATAATTTCTGTGAGCTCCCCAGTGTGTCTTCAACTTTATTATTACTCCCTGATATCTTGCACAATTTCTTGCCAATAGCAGTCACTCAGTAATTATTCAAAGCAAGGATGATATAGGAGGCATTTGAAGGAAAAATCAATAGGTCTTAACGAGTGCTTTGTCCGGGTGACAAAGGAATACAAATGAATCAAAGACAACTTGTTAGATTGTTTGACTGAGAGGATAGTACATTAGTACAGTGCCCTTACTTCTGGGCCATTTTTCTCTTGGCTTTCTTTCTCCTCTTCTCTCACTTCCTCTGTAAAGTTCTAGGATCAGGTGGAGGATTGGCCTTTGTGGAAGGTAGTTTGCAAAGGCCAAGCAGGATAGATTAGAGGGGAAGACGGGAAGCACTGCTATTTCATTTTGTCACCCCAGCATAAGGCCATCGTGAAGTGTTGCCGAAACTTGTAGTGTTTGTTTTTTCTGTGGTTACCAATATTGTGCAAGTGATTTATCACCTCATTATTAGCGAAAAGTGAGGTGGATGTAAGGCATGTTTCTTTATGGATCTGTCATATGTGGGAATATGGAATCTTTCCAAGTTTATAGGAGAATTGTTTCCAGAGAAAAACCAGGGAGAGAAAGGTATTTGAAGACGTGGAGGTTACACCAGTAACACAAAGTTGTCTGTGTCTGTTATCTATGTCCCCACATAACTAGAGAAAATTTGACTTTGGATGGTGGGCACACACTGCAATGTACAAATCTTGTAACATGGAAACCCACACCTGAAACCAATATGATCATATTAATCAATGTGACCCTAATACATTTAATAAAAAACGTTAGTATCCTATTAGTTACCAGGCTATGATTAAAGATGGGGTGAAGAAAAAGGACATAAAAATTAAAAGATGAAAAAGCATCTATTGGAGCGTCAAAAAACATTCATCAAATTATTTTAATATTTTATTTTTAAAATAGCCTTATATTATTAATAATTTATTATGTGTCAGGTGTTATTCTAAGAGCTTTACACGAATTATCTTATTTAATCTTTATAAGGATATATTAGGAAGTTTCCTATCACAATAATTTTTTTATTCTAACAGATGAGGAAACAGGTTTAGACAGATGACATAACGTGCTCCTCATAACACAGTATTAAATGTCAGCTGGGACTCAAGCTCACGTGGTCTGACACAGAGCCCGTGCTCCTCTCTATTATCTTACAGTTGTTAAGGTTGATTGTCTACAGGGCACACACAGGGGTGTGCACAAGCATGGTCTCTTTTTTTTGCGAAGTTTGTTTGTTTTCTAGCTAGCTCTGAGATGCTTGGGCAGATCTGTAGGGGAAGGGCCCCTTCCACACCTTTCAGAACATTTTCTCAACCTTGACACTGTGATTTTTGGTTAGGTAACTTATTGTTCTGGGGGTCTGTCCTGTGCATTGCAGGATATTTCACACCTTCTCTGGACTCTACCTTCTGGATGCCAGTAGCACCTCAGTTATACCGACTGGAAATGTCTCCTGACATTGTCAAATGTGCCCTTATAATTCACCCCTGATTGAGAGCCTCTGATCTACAAGGATGACTTGGTGGTAGATGACTCTATGAAAGATATGGAGGTGACTCCATTAGGATGTGTGCGGCCACCCTGGAGCATGTATTTAAGAGGTGACCAAGACTCATTTAACTCACTGATATTTACTTATTTCTGCAGATAAACGTGCATACAAATTCAATTATAATAAATGTAGATTACATCATTAGATACTTTGAGGTTCTGGATGGAAAATTGAAGAACTGAGAGACAAAGGTTTTCATAAGTAAAGGCAAGAAGTAATTGTGTAGAGAGAACAAATGAGAAGGAAGTTTTTATACTACGTTATATGATCAGGCATTATTTGTGGCTAATTTAAGGATAGTCTGAGTGCTTTTCAGTTTGCAGAGTTTCCAATGTACTGTTTGATGTTTTTACTGTTCATATTTATTCTGCATGTATGAGACTTGGTGGTCTTATAGCAACTGCTTTTAAACTGCATGTGCATATCAGAATACTCTGAGGACTGTGTTTCAGATTCACATTTATGGGCCCTATTCCAGACTTGCTGAATCTGAACCTTCAGCCATGGGGCCTGTGCTTTGAGAATACATTAAAATGCTCTGATGTACACTTCCGAATGAGAAGCATGGACTACAACTGTCCTTCCCATGTTTCTGTACCTGCCATGATCTTCTGTGACTCTCCTCCCTCTTTTTAAGGGCGTATCCAGGAAGTCACATGTGAAGCATTTTTAAAAGAAATTCCCATTGGCTGTAACTTTCTCACAGGTTATACCAAGGTGCAAAGTATGTTGACAAATGTAGTC